TATGTTACTGGCTCCCAGCACTAGTACTGAATGAAGTCTTATTGTGCATGCTGTGTTCTACTGAGGGTCAGTTCAAAGTCTGTGCCACCAGATGCTATTGACCAGCTAGCTGTCTGACAGGATGACCTCCACCTGCCTCACAAATGAATTTGCACATTTTAAATAGAGATCTAGGGATTTGGGGAGGAGCAGCAGGAGCCAGTTTGAAAGTGGTCTGGAGACAGCCACAAACGGAGGGGAGATGCAGGAAAGAACAAGAGAAGAAACTGTGAGACTGTTTCATGGGAGAGTGGGCCTATGGCCCAACTCCTTCAATCTGTTGGAGATGGCAGGTCAAAAAGGTTGGCCATCACACTGCCCTGTGTAGCACTCTGAAGCATTTCAAGCTCTTTTCTATTTTGTTGAGAAGGTCAAGTGTTTCTTTTCTGATATCTCCAACTGCATGGGCTCTTCCCACAGAGTAGAGTTAGAGTAATGCAGTAGAAGCCATTTTCATTTGGTTCAGTTGGAAAGAAGTCTATAGCTCCTGGTCCAACTGGGAATGTAGGAGGGGAAAACAGCCTTCACCCTTTAGCCTTCAAGTACCTTCATGTCTTAATGGAGAAGTTGTCATGGACAGTCAATCCCCTGCCCCAAACTGACAATTTGTACCTGTAGCCCATATGCCCAATAGCAGTCAAGGACTGCTGCCTAAGGGTGGCTGTCCTGCTGCTTCTAACTCATGCAGGCAGCAGCCTCATGTAATCTCAAATAAATAAAAAGCTGTACAGCATATATAAAGACACAGGCACATCAAATTTCAACAATGCCTATATGGGTGCAGCCCCACGAGTGCGCATGTGGCACATGTGCATGCATTTCCTGCACTGCTAATTTGCAGCGCAGGGGGGGGTAGGCAGGGGGGAGGGTTGAAGCCAGGATCTCCCGGTGTCGAAAAAAAACCCACCACTAAAAAAAGTGGTGTGGTGTATGCGGCAACAGCATGCACCACCAGAAGGGGAGTCTGGCTGGCCAGGCATGCTCTGGCTGTTAGCCAGGCTATGAATGGCCATCTTGGCATGCTGCTTCTGCCCTGGGAGGCCCCCAGCGTCCCAGGTAAGGCTGCTAGGGCCACCCCAGGCGCTGGCCTTAGTCTCCCCTACCCCACCCGGGGCAATTGGCCGCATACCAGAGCATGCATGCAGGGGTGTGCCCAGGGACAAACAGCAGTGGCACAAATATATGCTGCTGCTATTTGTCCCACAGGGAATGGGAACCCTTGCAATGTGCATGCTCGTGGGGATGTGCCCTATGAATCTATAGTAGGATTCAACCATAGGCAAAATGGCTTTATTTTCAATCTTGAAGCTGTGTAAGTCCACGTGAAATGGCTTGTACATAGATAATTATAAACCTGTTTGGAAAGAAGTCTGAAAATTTACTTGAGTTGCAGTAAAAGACCTGAAAGATACACTTGCAAACTTTACAGTCTAGAAAGCCTTTAAAATATTTTTGGTGCTTGTTCCAACTAGAGTCCCTCTGGAACATGTTTATTTTCCAAAAATAGGAAAAATGAAGGAAAGAAAATGAACAGCTAGTCAGAGTGAAGTAGAAATGCTTTATAGGGTGCCAGACAAGGGCTAGTGCTAGGAAAAGGCAAGTATATTAATGAATTTTATTTACATTTCAAAGATGAGTTAATTGCAGTGTTCTTATTTATATCCCACACTTGGGATTTCTACCAGAGACTATGAATAACGCACACAGGAGAATGGAGTAGGGGACCCAACAGATCTCTCCACTTCTAATTTCTTGGATGATCTTATTTTGCAAAGTCATGCAGTTCCCCAGGTAAGTTGGCCAGTAAATATTAATGAGGACAGCTTGTGAGTTGCTTGCTAAGGAACTTTCAAGACCTCAGGAATCCTTCAGGAACAGGAGTTATCAGCTGAGGCTGTGTTCTATAAAATAATACCAGAACAATTTTGATGGGATGGGAGAGAATGATGAATGACTGTAGACTGAGATGTCTCCACAAATGCAAAGGAAGCTTTCTCGATGACGAATCGGGCTAGCAAGTTGCCACTTTGTGGACACTTACAGTACAGCAGATATTTACGCCATAGGCAAAAATCCATTTTGATACTTTCATACTCATCAACCTTCTCTGTGCTAGAGGAAAAAAAAGGTACCATTGCCAATATTGTTGCAATTTCCTCAAAGTTAGCTACATCAGCTGCCAGTGATGTGGCAATTATACCTGTCTAAATAGGACTATGTGACAGTGGAAACCTATGTTATGGCTTTTTCCAAAACATAGGAAACATTTTGGAAATGTTCCTAGTATAGACAAGGTTGCAAATGATTCCACCCTTGGAATTTTCCAGCAGGAAAGGATTGATCTCTTTCCATCTTAGTTTTTTTTGGTTTAATAGTAAAAGTTGCTACTTTAGTTGATAGAAAGCAATGGTCCATTGGAAAAATCTTGTGATGGAAAGAAGAAAAAATGACTATGTTGCTCATATTTATTTAAATTCTATCCCTTCGTTCTCAAAAACTGAAGAGGGAATTTGAATAGCAATTGCATTTAAATTTAAGGGGAAAATTAGCAGGGCTGAGGAGCTAGCAGAAAGAGAATAAGATAAAAATAGTATTCTGAAAAAATGAATTCTTTTTAAAATGGTTAACATGACACCAAATATTATCCCATCATTTCTTAAGTATATCCTCCTTCAACTCCTCATATCCTGATTGTGGGGGGTTCCTGATGAATGCAGAGGGTGTAGAGGAAGAGGTAAAATCTGAGGTAGCTGAATCCTTAATCTGTGGCTGGTAATCAGAAAACACGTTCTCTCTCAAATAGTAGTTTTGGCTTTCTGGTATTTCTAAACAGGCACTGACACTATGTTGGGTAGGAGTATCTACTTCCTCCTATCCACACCAATGCTGCTTTTACTTCTTTCCCTTCAAAACTCTGACAGTTGCCGTCAAATCAGTCAAGACACCAAGCATCTTTTGCAAGGGACTACATACATTCAGTTCTCACTGAACTTCACAGGAGGCTCTACATTGACATGTTCAGTAATGCTTCATCCTAATACACATGGTGCTAAATCCTTTGCAACTGAGCTCAAGACAGGGAAATGAATTCCTCTAAGACACATGCATAGGCAGCACAAGTCATTAGAATCCTCAGTTCTCATACAAAGAGTAACATTTCTTTTAGATAAGCTGCATATCATTTTTCACATGGGCCCTGTTCTCTCACACACATGGAAGCAGCAGGACCAGATCAGTAGGAACAGAATTGTAGCATGTTATATTTTAAACCTGAGATGAAAGTTACTTAACACCAGCCACCACCATTAACATTACTGGTAGAGTAGCAGAGTGGAATTTTTTAACAGGGAGAAAAGAAGTCAAGCTGAGGTATTTTGGGGAAGCGTTGGGTTGAGTTGTTTTAGAGACACAAGTGTTTGAAGAGAATTGGCTGCTGGAGACAAACACACTTGTCCATCCCGATCTCTAGGTTAACAGCCTCTTCATCTTCAAAAATGGATGAAAAATTAGGTCAAATCTGTTAGCTATAATCACTGTTAATTAATAGAGTATAAAGTCACATTGAGGAGTAGGGAATACTATTAAAATCTTTTTCACTATGGAACAATGATATGAAATAATGTAACTGTGTGCTTATAGTTTTTGGCTAACCACATTTTATAGCTGGAAATTCTTGTATCTTGTTCATTTGCAAAAGATGTTACCCTTTATTGGAAAAAGCCTTAATATTGTAAAGCAGACACTGATGACTGAAAGAGAACAGTTATATAACCCAGTGTCTGCCACAGCAAAGTTAAGAGATAGTGCACAAGACATTATATCAACTCTGCTGCAGGAAATATAGAAAATTTCATTAGAGGTATTATATGAAATTGAATTAAAGGTACATTAGAGACATTTGGATTACTGTGCATTTTCTCTTGAAGGTATAATATGCAGCTGCTCTTAATAGGCACATTAAGAATGTTCATGGGCATTGAATATGACTCGTTCCTGAGAAAATAGGATTACTCTTCAGTTTTGTGATTCCTGAATACAAAGAAAATAAGTAAGTAAACTATTCTTTGGGTAAGAATCTGAATCACAAAAATAGTGATCATGAGGACCAACAGGAACACAGTCCATTTTTTTTAAACTTGGATCTGCTCTGCTGGAAGTCACACCTCAGTTTCCTCATCTGTAAAATAGATTCAATTAAACGGATCTCCTTTGTACAAATAAAAGGTTAAAAAAACATTATTACTGCATGTTTCTTTTGACAAATATTTCTTTCACTTATAGTCATCCAAGCATTTTTCTGTATTATCCTAATTTGTTTTAAAGATTTAAATGAGCTAATAAAATCTTTTTAATTCTTGTCTCACTTAAGCTGACAAAGAGACACTTTACTTTTGAACCTATATGTCAAATATAGAAAATACCCCACTTTAAGATTTAGTTTTCCACGGTCCAGATGTGGTATATCCTGAGGAAGAATTTTTCTTTTTGTTTTGGCAGTAATTTTTATAGGGCAACAGGCAAGATCTCTTAAATCTATATGACAGTGTCCCCAGTTACCATCTCTGGTATGTGGGTTAAATTTAACTGGTACTTCTCTTGCATGAGGACTATCTCTAGCATGACTGGAGGTTTCATATGGGCTCACAGGTAGACTGTAATAAAAACAATGAATCCTTCTAGTGTTATCTTTACATTATTTCAAACCCCAGTGCATAGCACATTTAAATATATTAACAGGCATTAAAGATATTATAATTATATTATTATAAATGAATAGCGATCTTTAACATCTATATAAAAACATCTCAACAGGGAAAACTTCTAAATTCATTTTAACTATCTGAAAACAAAACTGACAGCTATTGATAAAAAAAAAAAAAAAAAAGCTGAGATGATGGGAGACTATTTTCCGAAAAAGAAAGTATTTAAATAAAATGACAGACAAGGTTCCTTGGGTGAATTTGATATCTTTTATTAGAACAACCCAAATGATTGGAGAATAGTTATTAAGCAAGCTTTCGGGTTCAAAAACCCTTTGTCAGGGTAAAATGTTTTTGAAAAGATACATGATCGTGGAACTCACAGAGTAAAAGAAACAAAGAGCATAAAAGCAATGAGAAAAAAAAGGTTTAGTATGTGGTTTTCAAAGGTACTGAACTCTTATTGACTTTCAAAAAGTGAGGCACCTACTGCCCTTTGTGTCTTTCAAAATCATCTGCTAAATGTTCCACCCAGGTGTCTTTTCTGCAATTACGCACCAGTTTGCATGGTCAAAGTACGAATGAATAATACGTAACTCAGGAACCTGATGTTCTATCAGTTCAGCCAACTCTCCTTTTTTAAAAACATGGTAATACCTAAGACAGGCCCCATTAGAGCTTGTTTGCTGCTGTTTGTTTTGTGTGCTTATTGTATCCTCTCCACCTGTTCCCTCCAAAGAACTGCTTATTTTGCTTTTGTTTTGGGGTCTGCAAAAAGTTGCTTGTTTTGGGTGGTGATCTATTTTAAGTTGCTGTGTGACAGCTGGGTCTTTGTTGTGGGAAACCAGGTCAGGTAAACACACACTGCTGCAATCATGAGTTATATCTGCAGCTACTTGAAGCTGCTTAGTGTCCTGGCTTAATTTGGAACAACTTTTGAAGGCCACAGAGTGATATGACACCAGTGGCCCTGGTTCCACAGCCACTTCAAAAGCATTATCTTCAGAAATCGGTCTGCAGCTTGGAAGCAAGTTGGAAATATGCTTCATAAAGCTACTTTGCCTTATTTGTTCAAAATCCTTTTTTCTATCTGGCTCACTCAGCTGAAAATTGTAAGTGCAGTATGTGCAAATCCCTCCTTGGTGCCACTGATTACTCAAGTCTAATGCTGAACCAAGTGATTTTGAGACTAGAGACCATCTCAGGGATTTTTCAAACAATGTGCACATAATTTCCTTCTCCCCCACATAGGATGAACTCTTTGCTTTCCTGTGTGCTTCCAAAGGCCCATCTGACTTGTGGGAGTGCTGGTTCAAGGCCAGCTTTTTGTCCTTCTGATTAATCAGTTTCCATATTCCACGTGAACAAGGGTTACCCGATGTGCAGGAAGGAGGTGATGGATTCCAAGGAACAAAGATATCTTGCTTTTCAAATTTTCGCCGGTTTTGCTCCATTGCCCACACGTATATCATTATCTGGCCTCCTATTCTCAAGATACGAGCCATCTCTTTTATTGCTTGCATGCGTCTCTCCTTTGTTGAAAAATGGTGGATCACTGGAACAGATAAGGAGAATAAATATCCCTCGGGGCAGTATGGAATATAGAGCACAAGGAAGAATACTGGTTCAGACACATTGGCAATAACTGGTTTGAATCCTAGGAAAAGTTAATTTACCTTCTATTGTCTTATACACTGCTGCATTACTTTCCCCAATGTGTGAAGAGTACAGAACAGATTAATTAATTTATTTTATAAGCACAATCAATAGAATTAAAATGTGAATGCCTGTGCTAATAGCAGGTTTGCGATCGGCAATAATCAATGCTGAAGTCCCATTTAGTCATAATGAAGGTATGGCTCTGGCAACCTTTTCCTTTTCTCCCTGCAAGCATGGTTCCACTCTGACCTCAAGGGAGTTCTTCTAAGGATGAGAAATTTTACCCGTTCCATCCTGCTAAAAACTTTGATATGGACACCTGTTAAATAGCAACTGCCTTAACCATTTGAACAGGAATTTTTTTAAAAACAGCAAAGGTCCATCAGCGTCTAACAGCCAATTGGGCTTACTTAGTTTCTATAGCCACACAAGGTAGTGAGGTAGCTACTATTGTATCTGGCTATCTTTGACTCCCCTGCCTAAATGACTGAGTATCCATTTACAGCTGGATTAACTAGGTGAAGCCTTCAGTGCCAGGATTTGTTTTTGAGATTGAGTCACTATTGGTCTTGGGAAAATTTAAAACACTGACATGGTTGTGAAAGTCTCCATAGGCAATTACCAGTTATATAGTTGTGTTAACTCACAGATATTTAAATAAAAACTTTAACAACTTTAGAGAAGTATTCTTATTTACTAAAGAATAGGAAGAAAATTCCTTCAACTGTATTTATGTTATGAGAGAAGAAAAGTACCTTTCCCCATTACAAAAATCTTTCATGCAATTTTTAATTAGCTATTAACAACAACGACAAAAAAGAGGTCTGAGAGATTAAATTTAGTAAGGACTATTACTATGTCCATGCTGAGGATATTAGCTTTGACTGATTTGGAAATAAATTAGTTTTAATTAATCAAATTGAAAATTGATTTGGAAATCAAATTGACATGGCCATTTGATAACTGCATACTGAATGTGCACAGTATAAGTGACCCCACATCTACAGGCTCCCCATTACAGAAAGATATGTATGACTATTTATAGAAGACTGAAGTAAACAACTTACTCTGGCATCCAAATTCTGAAATCTAACTCAAGCAAGGCTTCTAAAGAAGCATACAAAATCTTGCTTGAGTCAGAATTGAGTTCAGGATTTGGCTCTGATTTCAAGAATTTTGCCTAGAGAAGGGCAAACAAGTCTCAGGATTTGGTAAAGGTTTGAGAGCCAAATGATGATCTTAATTATATAATTATAATTCTGGAGTTATTCCATATTGGATAATGAATGAGATCAGATTCTGATACAGAGCAGGGAATTCAGAATTTGGTGGACTGCTGGTAACTTTGATGTACAACCTAGTTGCAATTCAGGTGAGATATGACTATGGAGTGATCATAGATTTTAGCACTAGAGTTAGAAAGCAAAGGACACACATTAACAATTTTGAAGGAGTAATAGTATTTGATGAGTTTGGATATAAGAAGAGAAGAGAGAAATCAAAATGACTGCAAAACATTTGTCCATGACTACGCAAGGTCTTCAGGAGCAAAACCACTTCAGTCTCCAGATCTAAATGACTGTTGCTAATTATTTTTATCCAACTCTTTCCTTGTATTTTTCTTTTGTGAAAATGTTCACACCTATTACTGCAGCTATTCTTATGCAATTTTATTCAAATTGTAGTGATAAAGAAGCTTTTGCTCAAGCTACTGCAGAGTTGGTGGTCTCCAGGTAGCAATAATAGCTCTCATAGGAAATAAATTTCCTCCTCTTCCAGATTTATAAATAGGCAAAATGCAAGTAGCATTGACATAATGTAACGTAACGTCTGTTGCAGGCCCTTCTATAACTAAAAGAATAGCAGCATGGAATTACGCAAGCAGAGGAAACACTGCTTCAGAGGCAGTAAATGTAAGGATCAAAAAGCAATCATTTAAGAAACAGGTTCTTTCAACGTCTAGTTATTCAGCTACTGTGTGGGTGCATCTACATGTGCTAGGTTGCCATATGACGCGCTACGGCAATATAGTGATCGCATGAGTCTACATGTGATCAGCAGCTCCTTTGCTGTAGCGGCGTACTCCTGTTTTAGTGCGCTACTGCAGTGAAGTAGCAGTAAAATCTAACCATGTGCCACACACACGGCTCAGTACAGGCAGTTACTATGCCATGCCTTAGTACTTCCAAAAGGATGTACTAAAGCACAGCACCATAGCAACATTGTCATATGGCAATGTGTAGACATGCCCTGTATGTTTCTCTGGTGTTGAGAAAAAACAGAAATCAATTGCAAATGTATTCAAGTCCGATAGCAATAGCAGAGTCCAATATTGAAAGATTATGTCCATTTTAATTACAAAAAGCTTTCCGTACCTTTAAGAGAATGAGAGTTTATTAACTTCAGCACACTTAGAAAAAGTTCACTGCTGGTCCAGTATTTTTGTCTCTTTCTTTCTTTTTTTTTTTGTTTTTTTGGAGCAGTTCTAAACACTCCAGGTGATGCATTATATTTAAAAGGAGATAACCTAAGGAAATGAAGAGAAAATGTTTTCCTGGGGTAACATCAGTCTGCAATTAAATCATACAGCCTTATGAGACTTATTGTGCATTTTTATTTTTAACCAAAGCTAATCCGGCAAAGACTACAATTACACTTATAGCCATCTAATGCTGTTGACAGAAATTTATTTCATCCTTTCTCTGAACATAGTATTGTTATATGGAGAAGTTACAGCCGAGTATTAGCTAATTTACAATAAGGTACCGTTTCAAAGACAAAACTACTTTCCTTTTTAACTTGTTCCTGTTTAACTGATGTACAAATTATTCATTTAGGGCATGAATTTACTCTCCATTAGCATCAAATTAATAAGATTGAACCTAATTCCTTACTCCCTTAGACTTCAGGACTGTTGCAAATAACACTACTGGCACCCTTCAGCAATAGGCTAAATTAGGGTTACCATACATCTGGGTTTTCCCCAGACATAGCCTTTTTTTTAGATCCTTTGATCTCCATCGGGGGTGGGGGGGATTAAAATATGATCAAATGTGAAGGATTTTGCTCAAAGTTTCAAAGTTTTTTCTGGTTTTTCCTAGCTTGCCCTAGGAAGGAGCTGCTTGGGACAGGGCAATTGGAGGCAGGGCACACACACACATGGTTGGCATGTAGCCAGGCATGGGGTAGAAGCAGCCAGGCAGCTGGATACAGGTAAGTCTGTGAGGATTGGGGGTTGGAAGGCCAGGGCTTGGGAACTGTTGGGGGTGGAGGGGATGTGTGTGTGTTTGTGTGTGATGTGGGGGCGAGTCCAGGGCTGCAGCAGGGCAGGGGAGGCGCCTACCCCTCTGGCATGGGAAGAGGACATGCGACCCTTCAGGGGCAGCAAGGGGCTGCGTGGCTGGGCTGGCAGCACTGGGGCTGGTGGCACTGGGGCTAGTGCCTGTGCTTGCAGAAGCAGGTTGGGGGAAGCAGGGGGGCAGCAGGTCGGGAGTGAGGGGCACCAGCAGGGTTGAGGGGGCTGTGGTTTGGGAATGAGGGGCACTGGGGGGTCAGGGTACTGTGCACTGGGAGGGCTGGGCACTGGCAACACCAGCGGGTTGCAGATTGGGAGGAGCACCAGCAGGGATTGGGTGGGGAGGAGGCTGTGGCTTTGGAATGGGGGGCACCAGCATGGCCCAGGGGGACAAGATAGTGCATGTTGGGAGTGAAGGACACTGGCAGGGCTGGGATCTGTGGGTCAGGACTGCGGGGCAGCAGTAGGGCTGTGGGTAGGGGATGTGGCTTGGGACTGAGGGGCAACAGAATGGGCAGGGGCAGGGTACTGGCCTATCACTGCCTCCCCACTGTCATATATCCCCTCCCTCCCCCTGCATGACTGGTGTCCTCTTTTTTGGAACTGGAAATATGGTAACCCTAGCTAAATAACCCATAAGGTTATGTTACAGAGTTCCGGTTTAAAGCAGATACTTTAAATAAAAGTAAGTGGGGGGTAGGGGGAGGAGGGGGGCTGTCTTTAAAAAATCATTTAGACTGAAATTCCCTATAAAGTTTGTCAGGATTAGAAGGCACATACAGGTGATGAAGGGAGAGAAAATATTGCCATATATAAAAGGTTTTGTTTTGCAGACTCCATCACAGAACCATTGACTTCAGTGTGAGTAAGCACTGGCAGATCAAACCCTATTTCCTTCTTTGTGCAGCCATCATCAATATTACTGGGGAGCAGAAGTTGCTGATTAAATTTTGCTTGCCCTGTAGTAAATCAAAATACAGATTGTAGGCCCTAAATTGCCTGCAGCTTTTGCTATTATGTTGGATAATACAGCCTAATCAGGATGCATCTAATCTGCTCTGGGACAAGAAACTGCCAAGGCAAATATCTAAATCCTGCAGAAAAATGGAGCTAATAATTTTGTAGGTGGCACCCAGTTCCTTCAGAGATAGAACAGAACCACGATCCTGGCATGGTGCTTAAAGATGCTGTCATTCTAAAGCTGCTATTTCTGGAGGCAGGAATCCAAGTTCTCAACCACTTTTGATAATCAGCCATTCAAACACACATGAACATAGCAATTATTTGAGGGCTGTGGTGAGGGATGGAGGTGAGTCAACTCTCCCGGTCTCTCTCTCTCCCTTGAGATCCCTTCTGGCAACAAGCCCTCTTCCCTCTTTCTCCCCTTCTTCTCAGCTGCTCAGTGAAGCCTCCTTCCCTATCACCAATGGAAAAGAGCCCTCTATTTTAGACAAAAAGCTGCTTTTTCTCACCTTTGCTTGTGCTTTTCAATAATGGGTTGTACAAAGCAGCACCCAGAATAGTGTTCCAGACTCTCCCATGTGAGCGGTGTCAACCAGTGGGGGTTAGGAAAAAGTGTTTCTAAAGTCACTGCCCTGTAA